GGGGTGGGTTTGACGAGCATGGGCGTCACCAATGTCATTATGCAGATACGTTGATATCAAATGCTGAAGCAACAGAATCGACGCCAGGTTTAACTTAGATTAGCAGGCCGAAATAAAACATAGCATGTCCGGGAATGACAGGGTGGCCACCCTGACAGTGTGACGAAGTGAGACATGAGTAGAGACATTAGCCGGAGTACCTATAAAGCGCCGTTTATCCAATCTTTCGAGCATAAGCGACGCCGGCAGTCCGGCCAGGGCGGCCGTGCCCACCGATGCCGATCAAGACCCGAATCCAGACCCGGCATAGAACACAGCTCTGCCCTGACGTGACACATTACCCCGCTGTGTCACTCATGACGGATGGACCAATGCAGGAGCCTTGCCAGCTCCTGTTGTACCTACTTCGTTAAATTTTCGATTCTCGCTAAGTTGCCGTTTCGTCGTTGGAATAGAGTTACGCGGCAGCATATTGGAGCTGCGAGCCACCGTCCAAAAACAACTTAAATTGTCAACAGCAATGCAAATAAGTCTGTTATTGCTCAGAGCTTGCTTTTTGAAGAATTAAAAAGTGATACAGTACGTTAAGAAGGCAGCTGTATTCTTGAAACGGATTGCTTCGAGGCAACTATCCGGAATCACTCAGTCTTTTCTGAGCTCTGTTTGAGTTATTTTCTGTACCATCGACACAGACCACCGCAGCAGCAGCACCGATGCTGCACTGAAACTTTCCGCCCCGAAAACATGGGATAGCTCACCCCGATCGTGTGCAATAAGACCACGCGCTTGTAACTTCCCACTGCCCAGCCGGCCGGCCGGCAGATGCCGTGGCGCGCGGTGCCGATAAGGCGCTGCCGCCGGCGCGCGGCGTCGAGTTCTCGCCCTTATTGACACCGGCCGGTCGGCGGGCGTAACATGGTCCTCTTTAAGCCGTTTGAGCAGCGCCTAGCAGTAATACTTTTCGGAAAAAAGGGTATCATTGGACTCAGAAAAGAATACCGCACCACATGAGCCATGAGCCCGTATACTTTTCCAAAAATCGGTTTTTTTGAACAACCCTAGTATACGGGTTCCGTTCCCGGAGCTGCCAGTGGCAGGCGTCCCGCCGTTCCCCACGCCATGGGCTTCTGGTAGCCGGTGTAACAGGGCACAGAACATGAAACGAGCCATGAAACGAACTGGTAGCCAAAACAGCCGGTGTCGACACTTTTCCGAATCGCGGGCGTCATGGCATGCAGGCGTGAAAGCCGAGCGAAGGAAATCGTGCAATCGTCCGTGGCGAATTGGTGGGATCGCCCGCGAGCACGTCCGGGCCGGAAGGTGAAGTGAGTGCCAAACACAGACTGAATCTGTCGGTGTGGAATGTCTCAGGAAGTATGGCAAACTATCCAAACACGCCACACGTATCAACCCACAGGCATCCTGGATCAAAACAGCAAGCAGGTTTGCTTCGAGCTGCTTAAGCCACAAACATTGTTTGGGCTTGCGATAAGCACTATAAGCAACACGCCACAGATAGACCAGGCAGGAATTCGGCTGAGGGACGCATGCACTTTGCACACGCCATCGAGCATGCCCGATCCGAGCACGATACGCTGCGATCGTGAATTGTCTCGTTAGAGCTGATAAAGCGGATCGTGCCGGCGCGGTGCCGGAGAGAGACACTTTCCTCGATCGCCGAAACTGCTGGCTGCCAGTGACCTTCGGGGACAGCTGGGAGCACACGTGACACCGTCGACACTGGTGACCACTGAGAGTTTGGCGACACTGACATTGAAGGCACGGTGCCAATGACTATAAAAGTAAAGCCCTGTCGGCACTGAGAGCTTGGAACCGATGGTGACAAATTATGATAGCGATATTTACAAATACTCAAATCAAGTCCACAAATAAAATGGTGCCCTTTTAAAGTTCCATAGCTGGCTTGCGAAAAAAATAACAAGACTGTCTTGACATAATTTCCGATGGGTTGGCACTGTGTGCGTATGACAACCGCGACACAGCTTGCCTGCCACCGGTGACACCGCGTGCCTGACACCTCTAACACCGCGTGCCTGGCACCTCTGACACCATACCCCTGACACCGGCGACACCGCAGCCATCGGCGGGTGTCACGAGCGTGGCCCACCGTCAGCAGTCAACTCCCATCGGTCGTGATCGGTGAAATGGAAACTGGCCGCGCCGACCGGTCGCGCTGAAAGGTCCATTTGGCGAGCCGGTTACGTGCCATCGGAGAGCGACGGGCGTCCGGCACGGCGCGCGGAGCTCCGACCCAGCCAGGTGGCGTCCACTGTGTGACCAGCTAAACTGGAAGGCGTAGACTGCTGAGTGAGGGAAATCTCAGTTGACTTTACAGTGTCTTTCTATTGCGTTTAGGAAATAAAATGTTTTAGTGAGATGCTTTGTTATGCCTTGGAGGCCTAAATATGTAGTATCAGCGATCTAAAACAAACTATAGTCCTTAGGTTTCACATGCACAAAGGGTGTGACTTTCACAGGATGTCGCTGCCGTTTCCGTGTGGATTTTCAACGTGCGTAATTCATCCGGTCGTGATTCAAGGATTCCTTTCCAGTGCCCTGTCACTTATGCCTCTCTTACTCTTTCCTTGTGAGTTTCACGCTCATTACGTCATCCTCCACATCACTGCCATGATACACCATTCTCCGCATTATTTTCAATACCGTTTTCTCTCGGAGGGTTTTCCGGTGTCTGCCAACTCAGACTCAGGTGAGGTCATTGCACGGTATCAGATAAACTTATCTCCGGTCGGATAGTGTCAATTTGCTAACAGCTCCTTTGCGTCAGCCAGAACGGCGGCACGAATAAGTGATGCTATGTTTAGTTTTATTGGCGGTCATTGTCGCATTTTCTTTTTTAATTCAACTAGACTACGTACTGTTCTTGTCTATATTTAATATTTGTCTATACTTTGTTCTGAGTCTATAAGAATAATTGTGGACTGTATTATAACTATATATGTAGGTATATAAAATTTGGATTAAAATGCACGTCTATTTTAGATTGGTGTCATAATTCACATACAACAGAGTTTAGACGGTACCATTCCTCTGCTCGCATGATACGTCATAAGTGACGACACTGACACAGCCTGTCATCAGCGGACGACAATGACAGACGACAGGAGGCGGCCGGCGCGGCGGCCGGTACTGGGCGACAATGGACCCGTGGACGTAGGAACGCTGTCACCCGCCGCTCGTACCAGTCGTCTGCACCGGCAGTGCCCGGCGGTAAACTTTGATTAATCACTCCATTGAGGGACGGAGTAGGGAGACTCGTGTTTCCTGTCAATGCTACTACATAATGTCCGTATTGTCATACGAGCGATCCATTTGTCATATTCTGTCGGTACTCGGTGCGTAAGGTTTCATGTGCGCAACCTTGACAAATGATGTCGGATGCATTTTCTCTATTGCTTCAGAGATTACACGTAATTAGCTACAAACGGTGAAAAGTTGGTTTTGAGGTTCCTTATTCTGGTTTCTACATGCACAATATAAGTTTAAGCCTTTATTGCGTTTTGCAGGACAGCAAATTGTTCAACCTTTTTGTTTGTATTTTTGGAGGAAGCCGACAGTACTCAATTTTAAGAGCCTACATAGGTCATTGGTTGATCTAGGTCAGGTCAGAGATCAAAGCAGAAACAGGTGGACCTGCACTGGAACTTTATGAAGTGACATCTGGGGCATTTTGGGGTCCTGTTTCTGAATTTGACCTTCCTTTTCTTCAGTAATGATGAGCTTGGCATCTGCAGTAGGTCGCTCAGATCAGGTCAGGTCAACCATCAGGTATCCCGACAGCTATCCTAAATTCCTTAGCATATGCTCACCACCACTGACTGCTTTGCACCATGTGGCGTGACCTAAGGAAAGTTATTTGGGCTATTTCCACTTGGTTCACAAAGCTCCGGATTATTCATATACACCTTGCATTCGGCGATATTTCTGGTAATGAATGGACATACTAACTAGGTAGATGAGCTCGCACCTGAAATACTTCCACGGAGTTTACCTATGTAGACCTGCCAATTTCCTCCTGATATGTTACCCAGAACCAAATCAGCGACTTTGGAGCAAGAATGCAGCGCTTTAGCCAGAAAACAGACCATGAAACAGATAGATCGGAATGCAATGTTTACCTTAGCACGAATATCCCAGAGCTCTCTAGTTCCAGGGCAATCACTTTCTGCTTTTTTCGGCAGTACGCCGCCGACTGATTATTTGAGACGTTAACCAAAGGACTGTGTTACAGCATGCTATGAAGTTGATATTCTCTGTGCTAATTAACGGTAAGACGTGTGCCAAGTCGTGTCCCGAGCTGGCGAGTAAATCGTGCTAGCATTCACGTCCGAGAAATGGCCCGTCACAGTCATCAGATGATTAAAACGTGGGCGTTAGGCCCGACTAACTAGTTCACCAGTCATGATGAGCGTCATTTAATTCAGTTCAGTGTGCCCCAGGGGCCGGGTAGCAGCCTTTAACAGCACAACAGGGAGGCACGTGGGCACTGCAGGCACTGCTGTACACTACACAGCTGAACTGAGGCCCCGTGGTACTTATTCACATAATGAGGCTTGAGACGTACTCATGAGCTCCATTTCTGGGACACGACAAAGCTATGTAAAGTCACGATCGTTCGCTTCGCCATTATTGCCTAGCTCCGGTAAATGGCAAAAGATCCGGGAAAGCACGAGACTAAAGTTGAGTCAACTGAACGTTTTCCGTCATCCCGCTCAACAGGGCAATGCACAAACACCTCGCTGAAACGTAATTTGCCACAAGAACCTTGAACACCACCACTGTCATCGCCACCACCATCACCACCATCGCTGCCGCCACCACCACCGCCATCGCTGCCACCACTACCACGACAATCGTCACCGCTGTCACCACACCACCGCCACCACCGCCACCTCAAAAAGCCGGGAAAAGTGCACCAGGCCCGTCAGCCGGGAGGAAATCACCGCCGCCGTGTCACCTACCTGTGGCCGAGCTCGTCAGTGCCTCTAAGGTGACCCCGCATGCAGTCCTAGCTAACGGCCGGCCGCCGGTCATGCCTCGTACTCGCTGGTAAAGTATAGTCCTGCGAGGGAGACGCCGCGGGGTCAGGCAGCCTGCTCAGCACCGGCTTGTGGTCACTGTTATGTGATGCGCTTGCTTCTGTGTGTGAGTTACCCCGTGAATGTGAGCATGCCATGAGTTTTCCCTGATAGAGACCGAGCCCTTCCGGCGAATAAGCCGGCTCCTCCCGGGTAAGTCAGGCGCCGGGCCGGATCAGACCGCATCCCGCCGTCTGAGAGCAGGTAATCTGGCACCGGTCAAGTGCAGGTGCAGCCCCGGCCAGGAATGTCGGACCCGTCGGTCAAACCCGACCCTCCCGACCCCCTCCCGTGTCTGTTTACCCCCCCCCCCCCGCACCCCTCGGTTGCCAGGGCCCAGGAACAGCACGCGACATCCGCGCCAGCGCCGGTCACGTGATCGCACCCGGCAACCAGTCCATCATGCAATTGCCCATTATTACCCATTAGATACTGATAGTTCACCCATGGCATGCACCCGGGGAGAGAGCATTCCATTCTGACCTACAATTTGTGGATAGATAGTTGGGGCGTTGATTCGGAAAAGTATGAGCGGAGGGCGTTGGCACGAATTATTAGTTGTTGGTTACACAAAGATCGTTGGATTTATGCATCTTCTAGTCACGCATGGACATTGTATCATGCCAGCACAAGGCTCATGACGTTAGTCAAACACAAGTGACACACAATTAGACACAAGTTAGACATCATATGATCAGTGAAACACAGAAAAACGCTATACAGACTACAAAAAGCCACCAGTGCTGAGGTTCCCTAGGTCGGATCGTCGCCCCACTCATATCACCCTTCTGGTGCAGCCATTACGAGTATACCCACTACCCAGTCCGGGCCGTGTGGAGCGTCTTCCAGTTCCGCCTACCGTGTCGCCCGCCCCGCGGTACTGACCCATTTGTACCAGCCGAAGTCACGCGGTGTATCGACACGGAACGCCGCTCACAGGGCGTCGCGACTCGACGACGCGGCGGTAGGGACTGGGCCAAGACACCCCACCCCGGAGTGGGGAGGGACACCGCAGGAAACGAACGGAACAGGAATGTGCACACACACGGTGGCATATGGGATGACTATCAGGCTTTATATGGTTGAAAGTGATTATAGATTTATAAAATTGGGCATTTAATTGCCTAAATTTAATTTGGGTTTTCATAAAGTTTGTTATCAATAGCTCAGGCAATAGCCGATAAATCACCTACAATCTGTCCCTCATAAAATTTGTCTGTTAGTCTTCTTCACAACCGCTTCTTCTTCAATTGTCCATTCTCCTTTCAATAATCCTTTCTTTATTCCCTGTTTAAATTCCATTGGGAGTTGCGGCCATCTTCGAAGAAGATGAACCTTGGACAAGATTAAAGCTAGCAAAACTGATGCGCCTTATAGCGACGTTACGTAGCAGGCAACCTAAGTCATGCTCATCTAAATAAGTAGAGCAAACACGCTTGCGTGTAATAAAATCGACACACAAATATTCTCATGAAGCCGAGCAGAGACTATAGGTAACTCATCTTTTCATTAAACAACGCAAAAAGGTGCTTTATGCCACCACCGAGCGTATCTCACAAGTTTAATTTTAGGGGTGAGCTTCTTCGTTTAACCACCCTCGATAACAATGCTCGAGACAATGCCACGGCCATTTACCCCACGTGGTAAGGTGCGCGGTAACATCCAGTGATCACCAGGGGCACGGGGACTGGCATTATAAGTAATTGTACGGCCCGACTCATAGTCAAAACGCCCGCGCGTCTTAGCCTGCAGCGGGACTCATTTTAGAGGCTAAAAACGCGGCTGAGACCTCTGTTCTGTGACATTCTCCCTCTGCTACCAGCTACACACGGGGGAATTAAGGTCACACATGTCCTCCCGTGCGACATACAGCCGTCGCCGCACAGTTTCCGGCCATATGTCTTGCTTAACTTCCCGTATCTTTCCGCCAATAGTGGCATAAACCCCGTCTGCCGGCTGCATTTGGTGGACAATGGAGCCGTCATCGCACTAAGCCAGCCCGCTGACAGGGGCGTCCCTGGACCCCTCCTGACCTTCCCCATCACCCCCTTCCCCGCCCCCGCCGGCCGACAAGGCGACAGCGGATTAGGGATTTTCGCCTGTCCCGTGTGCCCGGTACCGAACCCGACGATAACGGTCGACTGAGATTGATGGAGCAGTTAGCCGCGAATGGGGCCGCCCCGACCACACCCCGCTTCTGCAGTCACTGCGATCATCACTGATCAGTGATCATGGAGCCGAGTCACTGTGATCACTGGTCAACTATGGGCTACGGCATCGAGTACACTGGTCACTCAGCGTGTTAACTGGAGATTGCATGCTTACTAATGAAAAGCATAAAGCAAAATAATTGATTAACTAGTTTGAGCTGTTATAGCTCGAGCGTTATGCTGCAATCCTTACTTAAAGCCAGTTATCAGTCATTTAAATGTTCAGGAAGGGCTAAAAAAAGTCAGAGAAGTCCAATGAATTACAACCTGTCACGCGCATCGTGAAGGTTGGAGGGTCCCGTCGGTGTACTCTCGGTGGTATCGGGATTGCGATTCAGACTTATCGTCCAGGCTTTGTCACGCGATTGCGTTCAAAGGTGACGGCGAGTCCGGCACAATCTGTTGTTGCTGTCTTATACTGTCTGCCATCGCTGTCTGCAGTGCGGGTGTGGGAGGTTACCAGCGACAGCATAGTGGAACTTAGAGAAAATGAATGACAGCCAGAGACCTTGCATGCGGATATAAAAGTAATTTAGGAGCAAAATGTGATAATTTATTCTTACAAGAATAAATGCCACTTGGTATTTCCAGAGCCACCCTTAAAATCTCGTCTCCGTCAATCGAGATTTGCAGAAGGGCGAGGGCCGGAGACGCCTTTTCACATGGATTTGGGTGTAAATGTCCGAGAGTTGTTAATGACTCTTGCAATATGTAACCTTGAAGAAAGGAAAGAAAGACAGGTCTATGTTTCAAACGAGGAAAAGGATTGCATTAATATGGCAAGAGGAGCCATTACGAAGACGGAATCCATCATCAATAAGCATCAAGTGTCACATCAAAGTTATCCGATCAAAGGGAAGTATCTCAGAGTTCGGACACAAAAATAATTCACCCAACCAGTTTGAAAAGTTCCGTTTGAGCTTGAATCAAAGCGTCATTATGGTTCCATAATGGCACTGGAGGACACCTGAAGACATCATTGCAAGCGACGGACAAGAATGACGATCATTCTGATCATAAAAATCAGATGTACTATCGGTCGCAGTTCAACTCTTGCCAATCAGGCGGACATCGATGAGTTTTAGTAGCGATAGTTCTATCCCGTAGTGGAGTAATTCCCTCTCTGTCGGGGGCCGTGTCAGGACCGTTATTTTTCAACTCGCTTCGGCGTCAAACGGTATGCCGGAGCTGGCAAGTCATTCGGACTGGCCATTGTCTTTGTTCATTAAACGACATAAGCCCTCAGTCACGAAGGGGCAGACACAAAGGTGGAGCCTTCGCGACAGATTGCAAGGATTCCGTTAGCTCTAAATTTCCAGAGCAGCTGAGCAGCTTTCCGTATACTATTTTGACACTCCATTTTTATGTCCCGCTTGGTATGTATGTGGCATGCAATATTGCAAACAGAAGCGTGCAGCCACACAGTGACATTGGAGATTGGTGCACGAAGATACCGACATTTATTCATGTAGACTTACCTCATGCCTCGGCTGGAATGTTGCTATCAAAAACAGCATATTCTTGCTATAGGTACAGTATTGTAGTGCACCACGAGCAATAGGTAGATGCGCTTCTCTTTGGCTATCATATCTTTTATATGCTTTTATTTTACTTAATTTTAATCCCGGTGGATACATTTATTCTTACTAAATGTATATCAATAGAGTAAAATAATTTAGACGTTCCGATCCCGTTCCAAATTAACCTAACACCTCAGTTAACATTTTAGGTTCCGTCCTTTTTCAAGCTACCCTGTGTTTAACTCTACCTTAAGTCTAGCCCAACAGCTTGAAGCGTTTGGCAACCATTCCCTTTAGCAGCAGATACTTTTATTATTTTCTACAGAGGACCACTTCGGTACCTACATTTCAGAGGATAGTCATAGGAGCTCAGCCTAATGACTTCACGCATAGGCTGGTACTCAGTCAGAGCCCACGTCAGCACATTATCCTTTTCTCATCATATACCATCCTTCTGATTATGCTTTCTAACCACATATGACCAGATTGTCCAATCAATCCCTATACCCGTAAGAGCAGCGAGGTCCCCACCCCTCAATCAGCGCGTCCCAACTTCCAGTCAATGACAGCGACCTCCCCGAGTACCCCATGTATGTAAATCCCTGGGTTATCCCGGTGCCCTGCCCAGAGCGGCCTGATGCGTTCCCTCGGAGCACCCCGGTGCCAGCTCAGCGCACCCCTCGGAGTACCCCCGCACCCCTCCACTCTCACCTGAGCAGCGCGGTATGAGGTACGGCGTCTGGTAGTAGGAGGGAAGCGGCAGCGGCACCGCCACCGGACCAGACTTCCTGCGCCGATCTGCAACTGCACACCGTGCACTGTCAGCATGCGGTGACCTCACTGCAGTGACCTAGTATGGTGAGTGACCCACGTGCGGTGACAATCGCAGTGAACATCCGTGCAGTGACAAGGCGTGAATGGTGCACGGTTCATACTCGTACGGTGAAAACGCATGACGCTGGGCTCTGAAAAGTTAAGTGTGCGGTGCATAACAGACCCACGTAGGAACATATGTCCCCAACATGCGTGGGCAGACCACAGGTTGCAGCTGGTGCAAAAACTCTGCCGATCGGGTGCAAAAAGGAGACATCAGGCTGGCATACAGGTGCGATTACACACGGGACAGGGCCGCGACATGGGTGGTCCAACGATCGATACCGGGTAAAAACAGACATTGTTCTGAACTGAGTGGGTCGTGGGACACGCCGGGCGGCCCGACCCAGCCCCGACCCAGGTGTTGGCCGGGGTTTGATGGACATGGGACACATTACACGCAGACTTACATGGCACATGCGCGGTGCGTACACCGATCTGCTGCAGACACCATACGGGCGGTAAGGGGTGCTGCAATCCAAGGAAACACTTCACGTGATGGTAAGTGCTGGCAGATGCTGCGAATTCCTCTCAACCAGCCGCCATTTGGGCCTATCAGAGTCGAGCTCAGCCATACCAGACGTTGCGTGTGAGGAATGCTATCGTTGCCGTCTGGCTCGAATTCTCCCGCTGGCCTCATCACGTGACTACAAACAGACTGCGCAGCGGCAAACTGGGTGGGGGGGGGGGGACCTCGCCGGGTCGCGGGGAGGTGACCGTCCAAGGCTGCCCTGGTCAGCGCGTCACCCAAACCGTGACGGTACTGGTGACACGGAGCGTCTCCGTGACGCCGCCGTCACAGCCGTGACGCAGCCGGGTGCGTCACGGCGTCACGGTGGCGCCGCATTCGACCCGTTAGCGGTGCCCTGGTGGCGGCATGGCACATATAAACTGGGGCAATTTAACGGCGGCAGCGGCAGTCACGGGGGGGGGGGGGGAGTGCGCGAGCCGGGGCGTGTCTTATGTTAAAGATCAGCTGGTAAATGACCCGGCGGTAAGCGCAGTGGGTGGTGACTGGTAAAGCAGACGCGTATAGTGCGATGGAGACGATCGGGGACTGACGCGACTATGATAGTAGATTGAAGAGAGGGGGCTGTAGGGAAATGGCTGAGTGGGAATTGGGATGGGCAGTCGATATTGTGATGAAGAGATGCAAGAGAGATGTCCCCGGGACAGGGAACTTAATACTAGTACATCAAAACATCGTCAACCGGCAACTTACACACCAAGCGAACACTCCTTGAGCTGGAATTAGGCACAAACCAAGTTCCATCGGTCTTTCTGAATGCTTTATGATGTTTTGCCACAATGGAAGGTCAAATAAAGGCTAACGTGAGTGAAAGATGATCGAGCTATCGTCTTTGAATATCCAGCAACGGCCTATCAAGTTGTAATAAAGCTGTAATAGTTAGGTTGGTACTATTGTCATTTATCGGGAGCTGCGATATCAATCAGGGCACACAAAATAAGCGACTTTTAATGCAAGTTTTCGGGGTGTCGATGCATTAAGTCATGTTCGGTATTGGATCATATCATTCGTGCAATAAAACTTGTGAGAGAATCATAGAGAAAACCACAAAACTCAGCGCTTAAACTGCCTTTCATCAAAATATATGACACAAACTGTGGCAATTACCAATAACGGAACGACCATTACCAATGATGCTCGGTGTTTATGTGCGACTTTTATTGCCGGCCGGGCCATTACGCTGCCCCTAAAAACTATGGGTGAGACGAATGCACCCTCTGGCACACGCAGCCCACCCGCGGAGCCTTAATAACCACTGCACATTGGGAGACGCCGAAACGAAACTTATCTTGAACTGTAGCGTTATGTCATTTGGAGTTCGAGCACCTTTCCTAGGCATGGAGGCATCTACAGACTACAATCTAATTCTCAAAAGTGCTTGAGTGGTGAGTGACAAGTTGTGAGGGTACCTAACTGGATAGTAATGTGCCTACTCAAAGCATTATAGCTGTTGGTTTCCATGTTTATATAAGGGTGTCTCATACCGTTCGCTCCTCAGGTCTGTCATCCAGAGTTGGCTGTTGTTGGCCGTCTGCACCCAAATCATGTTATCGTTCATATCATGATCGATAGATAACATTCGAGATAACATAGATAACACATAACAACATTCGAGCGCCCTAATCGACAATAGGTGGGCCGTATTACTGATTTACAAGATCGTATTGACGGAAAGCTACAACGCTGTCCTATGCCTATCTAATGGTAATGCCAACAATGAGAAAAAAAGCAAACTTAAATGAGTGTTGCGTTCATAGGCCCGTGAAACGTAAATCAGTTTTGATAATACAGGAAAATGAGTTTTTTTTGTAAGCCAGCATGAACAAGGACATTGCGCAATCCTCTGAACACATACAATATTTCTACTCAACCATTTGTTTTTGGCACACTACTGAACTGATGGCTGTTAGTTTTAAAAAGTATTTTTAAAGCCATATCAAAGCATTGCCTCTAATCACACCATCACTAAAACTACATCATTAATTTAAAGCCTCAAAATACTGATATTATTCTTGTGATTGCCTGATATACGAATAAGTTCTAACAAGTTCAGCTTAAAGGGACCCTCCCACCTTCAAAAAAGTTAATGAATTGGCATGAAAGTGATGTCGCTCGGTTCAGAAAGAGCAAAAACGAATATCTACCAAATTTCATCGAAAAATATTCACCGGTTTTCAAGATATTAGACTTTTACTTTTGTTTACTTTTCGGGATCTCCGCTGTCCTAGCGACTTTATTTGAAAGTGCGGCATTTGTTGCGCGCAAAGCAGCATATACCACCGCGTGCTACCAAACGTTTTAGTAAAAGATTTGAAATCGTTAGATCTCCGCTTACGTCACAAATTCTAAGGGGGCATACCAATGCATTAGCCCCTTAGAATCCGAAAACTGCAAGTTTGAAATTCGATATCTCCGAATTAAAGCATTTTTCGATGTTGTGAGTGCCCAAACCGGTATTTTCAGGCCATGGCCACCAATTTGGCTATCTCAACTCAAATCTAATGTTAAGGTGGGAGGGTCCCTTTAAAAACGTCAGGTACTCAATATACGATGGCTAAGCAAGCGATCTATCATCTTCAACGTTATTAATGTTACCGTTTATCATTGAAGATATGTTTTAGGCACCCATACTTAAACAATGGTCTCAACAATAAGTGCTTTGAGTCATTTTTGTGGCATTAGTCACACCAATGTGCTCGACTTTCGAATATTTCTGGTACCGTTACAAGCACCGCATCCTTAAGTCATGACGATAATAATCGCTGATTTTCATCTATGCATCGTACATGGGTAGGTAACTTTCTTTATGATTTGATCGCTTGTCTAGATTAACGGCTGACGAACACAGAAAAGACACAAAACAGGAATGATAAATGATGTGCTGAAACAGTAGTAACTGTAACGTTAAGTCCGCAGTTGGCGGGTAACAACCCATCAAAAATGTTGCAACGTCCAGAAATCATTAGCGACGTGCAGGCTCGGTCATTTAGATTATCAGCGCACGTATCGTTGGCAAACCTGCCCGATCTCGGGAGCACGCAATGCCGAGCCGGGATTAGAGCGTGTTCGACATCCTTTCAATGCCCGGCGGCTGTTTGCGGATACTGGGGGCCACTCGGAGAGCGGGTGGGCTGACGCGGGCGCTCCGGACCAACCGGTCCTCTGGAGACGACGACAGCCTGGTGCGTTCGACATCGGACCAACAGGCGATCGGATCGCCAGTCGTCGAATGCCGGCCCCGCGTCCAATCGTGTCGCAATGCGATTGGATCACATCGCGCGCTCAATTGGGCTGAATAAAATGGCAATAACTCTTCATCTTGGTAGTCTTATGCGCACAGCCGCTATAGGTGTGAGCTCAAGCAGTAACCACAGCCACATAATTAAACCTCAACTTTGAGCATCGGCTTTCCAGAAAAGCCCGTGAATCAGAGACCGCGAACTCACGGACAGTGAGCACTAAACACATCACGAAACATCAGCAGCACTCCACTCCCGCAAGCCATCCAGAAAACCATAACGGACTTAACAGACGCTCAACTTTACAGAATGCAAGGGGTCACCGACCTGAGAAGCCCCATGTCCCCTGTCCCCTCCCTATAAGCCGTCTCCAGCGCCGGTCAGGGCGGAGCTGCTGCCGGGGTCTCCGTGACTCGGCACAAGCCGAACCAGGCTCCGCTCTCCGTCACAGGAGATCACGTCTGGACGGTGTCGGCCCGGCTGTATGGGAGCGCCGCAGCGGCCCTTTGTGTCGCTCCAGTCCGGGATACTGGGCGCCACTTAGCAGGTGATGAGTCCAGGACTGCCAGCGATCGGTGGCCAACGAACTCGTGTGTCCGGCAGACTCGGCACGGAACAGCGCCAACTGCGGACCGTGGATGTCAAGCCAGGTGACGTTTTCGTGCAGGCGGTCCGATAGAAGATGGTTTTCAACAGTCATTGGATGCAAGCAGCTGGTGGAGAGCTCGCCAGTCCTTGCTGACATTCGCATAAACATAATGAGGGAAGTTCGGATGGTACGAAATAGACATTGAGCCTTAGGTCGAGGAAGTATAATCATGACATGATTATTCGCCGAAAATTATAGTCGCAGTCATGATTTTAGGAGTAAGGAGCAACAAGAACTCATGCGCCTGGTGAATAACTAAGAGACGACCCAACAAAGAAGGAATGCCACCAATGCCAAGCCAACTTAGAAACAACACTTTAAGCCGTTTCTGCCAAACGGCTGAATTGGTAACCAAGCGGATATGGAACACTCGAAAAGTAGCTCACATTGCATGACATCAGGCAAACCCAAACGAGTGTCAGCAACTGCACAACAACCCGCCCCACAGCAGCGGCACGACAGGCGGAGAGACAACACCAGACATCCGTCTAGACAGCACTTTCCTAGCTGACAGACCCTCAATGTCACAGCCCTGTTTGATAAGCGGTCATCGGTGAAATCCGAGACCGGATTGGCCGGCCGGCGGATAGTCGGGCTCCAATTCATCCTTGAAATCCAAGCGCCCGGCATTGATTGCATTGATACGCTGCGAGTTGAGCGATCAACAGGTGGATCGAGGACATTTTACAACGGATTTGGTGCCAGTGTTTGATAATGCTATGTCTATTTTATGAGTAGGCACTAGACAATAAATAGAAAGATTTGATTAGTTGGGCGAAAGCGTTTCCAATTTGTTTTTATTTCATGCGTTTGAGACGGATAGGGATATGTAATGTGTCCATGCTGGATGCGATCGAACAAATATAATCGGAAGAAGAAAAAGGAAACGGAAAGAGGTCGATGAAATTGAAATAAAGCTTGAACGGAAACAATTTGGAATGTAAACAGTGACAAACAAAGTGGGTGGACGGCGGAAAGGAAAGGACAGTTCTGTAGAGTGGCACTTCTCGCCGGTTTCTGCGGTTGGGTGCTGGGGTAGCCTGTCCACAGACATGCCACAGGGATAGTCTGCCAGCGTCCGGCGGATACCGCAGCCGCTCGCACCGGCAGCCAATTGAGGAGGGCATGGTGCCGTTCCAGGGATCGGATGACTCGTCAGACGGGAGAGAGGGAGAGAGGGAGAGGTCAGGGAGGAGAGGAGGGGTGGGATGTAACAGGATGAGAAGGAGAAGCATGTCGGAAAGTACAAAGACGGCAGACATATATGAAAGGACTACAAAGAAACGGGAATTCCTTCATTGCTTGGCTTGCTTCAGATGCCTGGTTTGGTAAGATAGCTGTGATGACAAGTTATGCAGACATAACTGTAAATCGACTTATCGAATGTAATAAAACATCTTCTATTTGAAGATTTGGGGTGGGTGGTGCCATGACTAAAAACAGCTCAGACGAGAAGCTGGGATCTTCCATGATGATAACATCTACTGAATAATTAGGCATCTCTTGGTATTACTAATGCCAGCAACTTAATTGAGTTGACAAATGTCCATTCTCAGACCGCAGATCAGGCTAGAGAAGGCCGAGGCATTTAGTGCACGTCGGTCGCAACTGAGGCATTTACAGCATATCGGCGACCGTTCTACGCCTACGCCCGTGGGTGTCACGATGACACCATGATAGCACCGACGACCCCTCGTGAAACGCACCACAGCGTCCGACACGACCTGCGGTTCCGCTGGCGCCATCCCATAACCGAGACCACTGCGGCTCGAGCCTCGTTGTAAAACGCGTCATACCCGCCGCAGCAAACAGCCCAAACCGCGGTGTGCGGGGTGATGTAACGGTCCTCAGCGTCACCAGAAGCCACCGAGGGGGGGGGGGGCACTGGCGACCGCCCAAATCGTGACGACGCTCGGACCCAGCCGGCTATTTCAGCTATTTCACAATGCACCTGGCCGCATCTATTCGGATAGCATCTGCGTGAGAGTCAGCTCTGAGACTCAGCTCTGAGAGACAGCTCGACGGCAGTCCCTGCTTTGCTGAGGATGAGCTTCAATGAGCGAACCGTCGGAGGCGCGTCAGAGAACGCAGTGTCAGCGCCCGCTCGAGAGTCCGCTCTTTGACGGTGACTTGGCCTGAGTGCCGCCGTCATGACCGATAAGAATAGAGTCCCCTCGAGACGGCATCATACGGGAGTGCCGACGGACAGCTGGGCGTTTCGGAAGCGCAGAGGCATGGATGAGCCCCTGACATATCCCGTCTGGTATTCTTTTGTATAAAAGGATAGCGCTAATCGTGATTTGAAATGATAATACTTTTCTGAGAGCCGGCATGCAAAATTATCAGATTAGGTAAAAGGGTTTAAAAATAGGCACAGGTAAAAATGGTTTTATCTGGCAGAACATAATAGAAATGATTGTCTGCTTTGGAACCTGAAGAACACTGAAAATTGAACATAGACATGTTTAGTCAGTCATGCCTCATCCAATATTTCTGCACACTTCACGTCATCTAAAACGGTCAACACAATAGCGCTATAAGTCATACGCAATGAGTGACTGCCGGGAAACAACATTGGTGATAACCCTCAGCGTCCGATATGTTCAGAAACACATCGCACGCCTCCCAATCACCCCTCCCCGCCACCCCGAGTCGGAACTCACCTGCCGGCTGCACCTTCACCGGACGGAAGTGGTAGAAACTGGGCGAGGCGGCGCGCGGGTCGGCGTAGCTCAGACTCAGTCTGTCCTCGCGATCGTCCCTGCGCACTCCCTGGCGGCCCATGGCGGCCAGCTGGCGGCCCTTGGGCATAAACATCACCAGAAACACGAGCGTAGCATTGACGGCCAGCCCGAGGCTGACGGAGGCGTCCCGGTAGAGGGGCGCCGCCACCAGGCCGGCCACCACCCACGTGCACCAGACCAGCACGCTCAGCGCCGACGCTACGCCGATGTAGGCCGCCTCGCGGTAATTGTCTTTGATGCGCCGCGAGCGCGCTGCCACACAGGCGACCAGCACCAGCAGGAACAGCGGGTACAGCAGCGTCAGGAGGTGCACGTGGAACGAGGCGGCGCAGGCGCCGTCCGCCACGGCCGGCGGCGTCACGGCCAGCCACTGCGCCGAGATGGCCAGCTGCGTCAGCACCACGAAGAACAGCAGCAGCGCCTGGTAGTTGGCCGGCAGGTACACACCGCCATTCAGGCTGATGAGGAACACACACTTGACGAGTAGCGCGGCAAACATGAGCGAGTACGCCAGTCCGGTGCCGAGGCGGATCACGGCGCACGACGCCACGGACGGCTCAAACACGTGCGCGCCGGCCGTCAGAGAGGCCAGCAGCAGTCCGGCCAGCAGCGCCTGGCCCAGCATCACGTGGCGCCGGCTGGGCGCCGTGCGAGACACCTTGAACAACACGTACGCCTCGAACGAGAGCATGGCCAACACGTTCATGGCAGCGATCACCATCACGGGGATGACCCAGACCTGTCGGCGGAGGCCGAGCGCGCTGGCGGCCGCCGCGGCCGGCTCCTCCGGGTCGGCCGGCTCGCCGGGCTGCACGCGCCCCGGCACCGTGAACAGCGAGTCGAGCGCGCCGCCGGACGCCATCGCCGCGCCGCCGCCGCCTTCGCCCGGACCGGGCGCTGCAGGTCAGACCGAGCGGCCGCTTTTTGCTGCCCGAGCATGGGCGTTTTTGCGTCCGGCAGGCATGCGGGCGGCGCTGACGGATGCCGCCGCCGGTGTCCGCCCGCGGCGCGTCTCGGCCGCCCCGCCGCTCGTCTCCGCCGCGCCGCCGCTCGTCTCCGGCGCCGGTGTCCGCTCTCGACGGTCGCCTGAAACGAAGACAAATGTTGCTGAGGACCACACGGCGGCTCGCTAACGGTCGGCCGCGCCTGCCGCGCGCCGTCGTCACACCGCTCGTAGCGGCGGCATCGCGCGCAGCGGCCCGGTAAATCAGACCAGAAGTGCCGGCAGAAAGTCACAAATTATGCCGAGCGAGGCTGCGAGACGTCACCGGCCGGGTGGGCGCCGCTGCGGGCGGTGTACGAGCAGGGACACGGCGGCGACGGGGCCCGCGTTACGGTACCGCCCGCCCACCGACGCGCACTATACTGCGGCTACGGACCGTGACATGAAGAGAAACGGATTCGTGTGTGGGCATATCAGTTGTTGAACCACAAGAGTGATATATGTATGCGTGCAAGGTTTCCATAATAAATGGGCCTCGGAGACTGGTGGCCTGGTGCTGAGTTTCAGAATAATGACCAGATGACTCGGTGACGAGATCGGATGAGACTAGAACCGCTACCGGTTTGAAAATACGACTACTTTTTGTCTGCAGGCAGCTGCCAGGGCCAGTGTCGGCCGGCGGCGCCGCGACTGATCCGCACACCGAACGACTCTCCCGCCGCCCGCGCATTTTTACCTCGGCTGATTGTGTCACATGAATCACTGGCTTTACTCGGGAGTCAGACAGCCGCCGACGCCGCTCCGCCGGCGGCTGGACGACTACCCAGTGGGTAGTACCCAGTGCCTACCGGCGGCGGCGGGAGCGTGCCGGCTGGCCACGACACGCACGGGTGCCGACCGGGTGAGAGGCGCGTGCCTCCCGGTCACGTGCATCGCGGGCACGCGCCGCGAGTCCGGTGGCTCCCGCGAAGGCGCGCGTTTCCCATGGGTACGTGTGCGAGCCGCGGAGGCCCGGCGTGGCAATAGAAAGTGATCAGGCCGGTAGGTATACCGGTGGCGGCGGTTTGTAATGCCGAGTGAAGTGAAGAGCAGAAACATATCACAATGGTCCGATCATGGGCATTAATACTGGTGATAAGATCAACAACATTGCCCATACCAGGCTCGGTGGAGCGAGAGGCAAATAACACGCGAAAAACTAGTGAACAGTACTTTCGCCAGAGCTTGAACAGGAAAGGAAAGTTATACTTTTTCATTGCGGAAGTAAGATAAATCGATGCCTGAACACATTTCGAATTCAGCACGATCACCTTTCGCAGATTTGGTGAGCTCTGATCAAGTAGTTATAACCCAACGCATTTTTAAATTATTTTCAACAAATCTCTTTAATTTCACCGACTGAGAGCGTTTAATACTTCAAGGAGTGTGTGGGCGCACGCTTTCGGATTCCACACGCACTCGGGTGTTTAAAGTGGCGCTGGATATTAACTACTACATGAACAGATAGGCGGGCCGGGCAATTACAGAGAAACTTTGGAGCGTGGGACCAGGAAGCCATCGCAGTCCGTAACAAGGTAATAAGACGTTTTCATAGCGTTAGGTGCGCAACTGTTGAAATGATAGTGTGGGGAGCAAAGTGCGTCGAGTGTAACGAATACACTAGCCAGTCGCTAGGATATGCCGTCATTGGGTCTGTTCCAGTCGCACTTCCTAACACCTCTAAACTGCTCCAAAATTGCTTCCCTGTTCCAGTGGCAGCTCTAGCCCCTACAAAGCCAAGGAGGGTTCTGCTCCAACCTCCTCTATCTTGCTCTTCAGGAGGAGTTTAGGTGTTTGGAAGTGCGACTGGAACAGACCCATAGACAGAGGTGTTTTCGAGCAAGGAACAGACAGACACTTTTGGTTGAATATGTAGTGTGCTGATCGCTCAATACCGGTGCATTGTCGTCTGGCTACTTTGTCCGACAGGTTTTGACTGTGGCGATGAAAGTGAAATTAGAACGTCAATGGCCTTGAGAACCGCTTGTTTAGTTAAATACGGATAATTTCAACAAATCTTTCTATTATGCTAACCTTGGAATTATCGATATTTTCCTAAAGAAAGTACATGGAAGACAGCTTAGGTGAAATCAAAGACAGAGACTGATCCTCCCTTTACCATAAATGGAAGGAACCAGAGCAAAACACTACCATTTACAGTGTTTAACATATAAAATAATTAAGTTTTCCTCTATATTCAGATCCCAACAGAAAAGTCGGCAACTAGTCACATCAGATTATTTCGAATAGCGTCTATAAAGAGCTGCCTATCGTGTAAATTCAACACCACATCGGGCTAATCCAAGAATATTAACAAACAGTGGGCATGTCCCAGGCATACTCCAAAAAACGTTTTATAGATAGTGTTCGCTGTCCATATATGTTCGTACCGATGGCATCGGGAAGTGAGTTAACATGTGTCCGTTCACGTAATTCGGCTCAGGCGAGGCGCGCCCAGGCGGATACGCGGGTTTACCGGCTCAAACTAACTGCAGACGCAGCTTGCCGATACAATCTCAGTGGCTAGGAGGTGAGATTTGTTTGTGATTAGAGCTAAATTAAACCTCGTGATGACAGCCACGCAATGGGGACAGGGTAGGTATGTACACCACAAATCCAGGACGCCAGCGGCAGGATTCCGTTCGTGATTTAACCAAAGATATTTTATATGTAAAACGCATGGATATAGTTTAGTTGAAAGGCTCACCCAAAATTTAAAATTCATTAAACTGCACGATGAATCTGATCGATTTCTAAATGCCAATAAGGTTAGGCCGCATGTTGTAGGCAACTCCTGTTAAAAAAAAATTAGCACTCGAATAATTTCATTGAGCAAATCTGCTCTCCGAAATACAAGCATAAATGCTGGCGAACTTCGATAGTATTGAAGTCGAGCCACCAATCAAGTATTTTCAGTCAAGATTTTCAGTAAGCAATTTTGTAATTTTGTTATGCTTGTTACAGCCCTCAGATTAGCATGAGAAATAGATGTGATTTACCCGCAGAGTACCCGGGGGGGGGGAGGCTCTACAGAGCCGCCTTCCGTTTTTCTGGAATACCTTTATCTTTTAAACTGCTTGACGTATCAACACGAACTTGCAGTACCTGCAGTAGCATTAATTTGACACCTTGTGTTTAAATTGCAACTTTTTAGCTACTATAGGTCAGCCGGAAATGACGTCAGAGTGAAGTCATATTGGCCGATTTTGATGCAAAACATTGAACCACGGTAAACGCTCTTTTCAGCTAGATCCAATTTCTTTGCATAAGTTGACTGAAAATACACGTGGCTTTCAAAATGCTGTCTCGGATTTTTAAAGGTTGAAAATTTCGAAAAAAAACAAATACATATCCAACTACAAAAACACATTTAGTCAAATTGAACGACAAAAGTATGTTATCAAAATAAAGTTAGGACCGGGTGACCAGTGCCAAATGATAAAATAGGCACGCGTCGCTGAAACAGTGGATGGACGCCAAAAAATCGCTTGTTTTCTTATGCCTGGGTCTGAGTGTGTTGAGTGAAGTAACCCGCGCCTGGCAGGGACTGTTTTTGGCACACCTCAATGCATTTTCTGCACATATTAGCGGAAATTTCAGACCATGATCGCTCAAGGTCAGGTCACCAAGTCATGTCAAATGACATTTCCACGGGAAAATGAAAATGCTGGCCAATGGCCATGGCTACGCCAACTGAATGATCGCTTTAAATTTTAAGCGACTAATGATAGTAAAAGTGGGCAATGGGCATGTATAAAACACTCTCTCGGGATTATGATATCAGTGACCTAGGGTCTTGAACTGCGCTCCTTTTGGACGAAATGCAACATCGGGTAACATGTAAACATGACACAATGAATTGTAAAATGAACCCGTGATCCCTGTTTATGCCCCTGAGGCCTGAGGTCATCTCAGTTCATGAGTGGTTTTCAACACTTTTTTACAATAACTATCGAGTATCAACATCGAGTATCAACAAATATTCTAAAGCGGTGGAAAACACCTTACGATGTGTTTAGCTCAGCGATGCGAACTGACATCACGACCTTATCCGGCCAGTTCAAGACCTTGACTTTAAGTCAAACTTTTAAAGTTAGTTTTTAACATCAAATTATAATTAATTCAACGCGTCTGAACAAGACCAACACGCTGTCGGTAACTTCAACGCGACAATGCTTGTTTTCAGTCAAAATCTATTGAAGAAAATATTTCCATAACATCGTCAGTCTTAATTTTCCATCTAGTTGAGACTAAGTCGATTAGCTTAGGTCAAATGTGAGATTATTATCCAGAAGCATGTTCCAAAAGAGCTGTCGGATGCGCTTTTCCGCGGCGCTATACGCTCCCGAGTCATGCACCGATTTCTCACACATTTCATCATCAGTTACTAATTCATTTATGGTAGGCATATGTAGAAAAGAATCGCATTGAAGTGCCATGTATTAGTATTGACAGTACAGTATCGGCAGTGACTCGCATGGTATTTTAAGAACAAAGCACAGTAACTGTTTTATCAATACAACCAATCACAGAAAATCTCAGTCATGATAGTCACTTCAATTCAAATGAAGCCATTGACTCTTATGACTCGTCTAAGGCTCATTATCAAAGAGAACCTGCAACTCCATTTGCTCTACTACTCCTCTCCCCCGCATTCCCGCTGATTTGTCACTCAGTTCTCTCCCCTCACCTCTGTGCGTCTCCGTCCGGTGTATCAGCGGCGGTGGGTAGGACGTCAGGCAGCGTGGCTCGGCGCGGCAGCGGCAGCACGCTGCGCCCCTCCTCTGCGTACACCGGCGACCAACTGGACGGCGGGACGCCCGCCCGGCCGGCCCGGCCGCCGGCGCCGCCGTCGGTACTGCCGCCAGGGGGAGCGACACGCCAGCGCCCCCGGACCGCAGGACGGTCCCGGTGGGGGTGTGGAGGAAAGGTGGACTGGAGGACCAGCGGTGGTCCATGGTCTTCACTCGTCACGGTCTCCTATGTTCCGTATTCCCTCCCATGGTCGCATGACTCGCATTTTATGGCTCTACACTCCTCGCCACAGTCATGTAACTGGTCCAAATGAAACATCAACTAAAGAGACAGCTCTTCTCTTGATAGGTGTATCCGTACTTATCACTGTTCATCCTCGCTATCCTCAGGACAGTCCCATTCGAGTGATCTACACCCCCCTCAGGCGACGCTTCCGATTTCCCGAGCTGGCGGTCACCCCTGGTTACCCCCGCCAGACTGTGTGTGGCGACTGGTGAGGCCAGTTCCACTCCCGGACCACTCAGTTTCTCCGGACGACCGTTTGAGCGGCAGGACCATCGGAACGGCCTCTGCCGCCGCGGCGCAACGACGGTGGTCCGTTCGGCAGTCAAATGTTATGCCTATCGGCTATCCAACATCCCATTAGCTGTGAATGTAGAGGTTCCTCCCAGCAAAACAAAACAAAAACAATTGTCCGTCCCCGAGGTCCGTTCCATATGTTCCTCTGGACAAGTTCATCCGCATTCCACATCCCCTCGCGTTTCCGTTTTCGGTCTGGCGGTCACCAGCACCAGTGTAGTGGTGAGGACAGGCCCTCGTCGGGCTCCGCGCCGGTACCTACAGCGCGGAGGCAGAGCGGATCTTTTTCCTAATTTACTGACGTCGGACAGAAATGTCACTTTTAAATAAGGTAGGTAGGTATATTATTTATGACGCATGTTTCGATGTAAGCCTGCATAAAAAGATATAGCTGACATTTATTACTTTGAACCCTCGCCGTCACAGGGGAAGGGTGAAAAAGTTGATGCAACCCCCCTAAGGTTTTTCGCCAATAACTCAAGTAAAAAGCGGCCAATCGCGACGAAACTTTCAGTACCCTCGCACTGATCAATTTTACACCTACCCTGAAATTTCTATGACCCTGACCCAGACGACCTTTGACCTGTGAGGCTGTGAGTTGTGACCTACTTTCCGAGACCATGTTTGGCCGGAATCGCGATTCGGCGTATGTCGGCTCGCATTAGCCGCGCGTTTGGAAGCTTTTCGTGGTTTCAAACGTACAAACATGTGATTTGATGTTGTTCCCATGTTAGGGTGGATGTCAGGGTTACCTAAATGTCAGGTCAGGTCGGTGACCTTTGGTGACCTCGGTTCACTTTTTCGAGTTTAACATGTTTCTAGGCATAGTTTATGGAGCTGAATTCGAATTAAGCAACCATTTGAACATTCACGAAGTAGTTTTGGTGCCTTCGTAGCATGTTACGAAGCTGTCAGAGGCGGTTGACACCTACTACGAATACCCGTCACGAACCCTACTGGTTGATCTAACCTGACCCGACCTGGTCTAAATGCTTAAAGACATCATCTGTGATAAAAACTAACACGATATTCGTTATCAGCACCCCGAAAATCCCCATAGCAGCCACACTTTACGACTTTCTAACAGGCCCCGATTTTCCCGACTTTTGGGTCATTGACCTGACCTGGAAGATCAACCGATGACCTAGGACCTTAAAATTGGGTATCATCGGCTCCCTCTCGTGACGGGCAATACGCTCGTTTTTTCGCGAAGCTCTAGCTCGATGGCAGGGGCCAAACGGCCGTACCCTCCCCCCCCCCCGCCCCCCGTGTGCCGTCGAAGGACGCAAAATGGCCTGTGCCAGCGATGGTTAAGCCCAAATAATTATTTTCACGCTGCTAATTAACAGATCCTTATACACTGTAAAAACCCATGTCAAAAACCAGCACCCTTTACCTGCTTATTTTAAGCAGGCTAACTGGGTGCTAAATTTTAGCACCCTTTTCGAAAAATAGCTCCCTGTGCTGGCTTATTTTAAGCACCCTAAATGGTTGCAACCATTTACGGTGCTTAAAATAAGCCGGCACAGGGAGCTATTTTTCGAAAAGGGTGCTAAAATTTAGTACCCATTTAGCCTGCTTAAAATATGCAGGTATAGGGTGCTGATTTTTGACATGGGTGCTAAACTTTTTTTACACTATAGTGTAATGGGGATCTCTTCAGCCGGATCTCTTAAACCTTTAACATCACGAGTGTTCTCACATACGTTTCAGGGAGAGCGACGCTGAGTTCTCACCCGCACGTGAACTGCCAACTGAGTTGATGGGTGTAAAGTAGGCCGTTCACTCTCAGGAAATGTCAATCGAGTTGATTGTTATAGTTGATGTTGTTGAGCTGGGACAGTGGTTCTTGGTAAAGATTGTTCAGGACACCAGCTTTGTTTATTTTCATTGGTAGCTTTCGGAAGACATTCGTCTTCCTTCATCAAACTGTCTATCTAGAGCACTAAAAATATATTACTAAATTATTATTTAAAAAAATTAAATAATTTAATTTATATATATGTTCATTTTATAATTTCATTTAATAAAATAAAAAAAAATTATTATCAAAAATATATTATAAAAATAAAAATATATATTCTATATATACATATCAAAGACCAACACAGAAATCAAAATGCGTACTGTTAACCTAAAAACCTCAAAACATCATTCGTTACCAGGGCTGTCTAATCCCTATCTCCGTAACGTGTCGTGTGCGACCAATGACGTCACGGCATTGCGGCGTTCTGATTGGGCGGCAGCTCCGAATCGGCTGACTGGTGGTCCCCGCTCGACAAGCGCACGTGCGCCGACTAGGCATTTGTAGTGGCATTGACGGCAGAAAGTGAGCTAATGCAGAGCTCTGAATATACTTAAATAGAGTCTAAGCCGTTAGTAATACGTAAAAACGTCAGATAGGTTTCTTGTTCGTCTTGATTCGAGCTTTTATGTGATATAATTTTTACCTTAGTGTCGAGTCTGGCAGCTATGTGGGAGAGCCTTAAATTTGGGTCATTTTCCATAGGATTGCATTATAGCCGTCTGACCCTTCGTACCTGTGACGTCACGCAAATCGCTGCTTCGGCCTAATGAGCATACCTTCTATATAGGGCCTTGATTCGTTACCAGTATAACGCCTTTTGGGGCGACTAACGGAGCGAGCGAGAGGGTGGGCCTTGCACGTGCGAAATTGCGAGGGGGTACCTCCAACTGACTTGTGCACGGCACCCTACTGACCGGTCTCTAGCGATGTGCCAAATTTGGGCACAACCAGCCCAGCCATTCTCGAGATCTGGAAGCGGCACCCTGCACGTGCGCACGTGAAAAATGGGTCCCACTCCCAACTGACTTGTGGACGGCACCCTACTAACCGGTCCCTAACTGTGTACCAAATTTGAGCGCAATCGGTCGAGCCGTTCTCGAGATCTGAAAACGACCCCTGCACGTGCGCACGTGCAGCAGCACCCCAACTCTGGCACATGGATATGCAGTGCCTAGTGGGTGCCTACCTACGTGCCAACTTTCAGCGCAATCGGCCAAGTAGTTACCGTCTACCGAGATATTGCAGCAATTACAAAACTGACACCTCTTCGTTTTGCACGTGGCACGTGCATAAGGGGTCACCCACATGCATCAGGAATAGTCCAATACTTGGTAGAAGGAATGAAGCTACCCTACAAAAACTACCGCATGTAAATCGGTCGAGTGGTTGCTGAGATATAAGCCTCGCAAAAGCGTCCGCACGGCCGGCCGGCCGGCCGCTCATACTCAGAAATCGGATCTATATTATGAATTATAACATGTCTGTGCGTAATCCGTCATGCCTTATGTGTCTTATTGCGCCTGAAAGGCGCCGCGTATCGGCGTGAAATTTGGCATGCCGAATCGGTGGGTTGATGTGACCTCTGTATTAAAATTTGGGACGGATTGGCCCAGGGGTGCGCCGTCGGCACGTGCAAAAGGGCGCTTCCATAGGGTTAACACGGGAAACGGTCAAATCGAAGATCGGGCGAAAACCGGCCTGCGGCGCCCACTTCCCGGGCCCAAAACTCGGCAACAGATTGCCGTAGGGAGGTGGGGTTGCCACCACTGGATAGAGGAGAGATGGGCCTAGCATATTGATATGGTTTCATAGTATAGCACGCGCCACGTGCAAGACAGCACCCCCGGTTGTTAAAAAAATGACCGATTTCGTGCATTGTGGGAAGAACACCGATGCCGCTGGAAAACGGCTTGACGGAATCAAATCGGTGTTGTATCATTTTGCAGACAAATGTACGTGTAATCAGAGGAAAGCAAATAAAAAGTGGCAATCCGTACCATTTCTTTAATAATAAAAAATTAAATGGAAAATTTGATTCGCGCGGAGCGCGATGTCCTTTACAACATCAAAACGTATTGAAAACGCTGATCAATGGCTATAAAACCTACATATTCGGAAAGAGCATTCTTTTTTGACCAATATCCACCCAAAACATTTTCGAAAAGTTCATAAATTTCCGTGAAATTAACTCAAGCATACGACAGTATTTCAGTAACGCCACGCTGCTTTCCAACGAATTTCTGTTGATCGCGTCGAAGGAGAAAAATGCCTCCGCGCCCCCGGGACTTGAACCCGGTACCTACATCACTGAAATCCGATTCGCTATCAACTGCGCCACGGCCGAGTTGGTGCGAGCGGCTCAAATATTGTTATAATTTAAAATTAGGTGAGGAAATGACTGTGAACTTTTAATACAGAGCGGTCCTAAATGCTTTCCGTTATTCAATTTGATGCTTCGTCCTTAAGTATTTGAAATATTCAAAGTGTACTTTGAATATATATTTTTGTTTGCATTGAGTGAGATATTCATTTATCCACACATTTATCCAGGCTTGCGTTCACTTTTTTGCCACGGCCTTGATTTGTCGCATAGCAACGGGATACGCAACAATAGTGTAAACAACTTCAGCAAAACAGGCTCGGGTGCCTCGGGTGATTGCGTTCCCTGT